CACAGCTCCAGTTGATTCATCTACTGATACCTTAGGGTTTTCTACTTCTGAGTTGGAGGTTGCTCTTCGCCACTCGCTAGACCGTCGGGCCTCTAGTTCATCCTCAGGTAATATCGCCCAGTCAGGTAACTTAGCTTCTTCTACAAGTGCTTTCCTCTCTCATCAAACGTTACCTTGGAGTATCGATTTTGGTGCTTCCGACCACATGTCTGGTTCTTCTGATTTGTTCTCCGCGTATACCCCTTCTTCAGGGCAGGATAAAGTTCGGATTGCTGATGGTACTATTTCTTCTGTGTATGGGAAAGGTTTAATTCATGCCACTGCTTCTCTTCCTTTCTCTTCTGTCCTCCATGTTCCTAATTTTAGTTTTAATCTTTTGTCTTTGAGTCGTATTACTTGGGACTTAAATTGTAGTGTGACCTTTTTCCCTGATCATTGTCTGTTTCAAGACCTTATCACGAGGAAGATGATTGGCAATGGTAGACACGAGAATGGTCTCTATATCTTGGATCAAGCAGACAAGCTAGCTCACTCATCCATTCAGTTTCCATCTACCAAAGAAGACATATGGCTGTGGCACCGCCGTCTTGGGCATCCATCTTTTTTGTTACTTAAGCATCTTTGAAAAATAATGTTTCTGAGTTTCATTGTAAGTCGTGTCAACTTGGCAAACAACACAGAGCTTCTTTTGCCCCTTCTATTAATAAAAGTTTAGTTCATTTTTCTTTGATTCATTCTGATGTATAGGGTCCCTCTCGTTTTGTGTCTTTAAAGGGTCAAAGATGGTTTGTCACCTTTATTGATGATTATTCTAGGACCACTTGGGTGTATCTTATGAAGGACAAATGTGAGGTGTTTTCCGTGTTTCAAAATTTTCATAAAATGCTTTGCACTCAATTTGGGGCCGTTGTCAAAATTCTGCGTTCTGATAATGGGGGAGAATACATTGATTCTGGCCTTGCTAGCTATTTTGCCACTCATGGTATTATTCATCAAACTTCTTGTACCAATACCCCTCAACAGAATGGTGTTGCCGAGCGTAAAAATCGGCATCTTCTTGATATTGCGCGTTGTTTATCCTTTGAAATGCGCGTTCCTCGATCCTATTGAGGGGAAGCGGTTCTCACTGCTGCCTTCCTCATCAATCGGCTTCCTACACAGGTTCTTCATAAACAAACTCCTCTTCAGGTTTTGTTCGGCTTCCAAGCTTCTGCTGCCTTCTCCATTCCTCCCAAAACCTTTAGGTGTGTGTGCTTTGTTTATAACCATTCTCCTACCCGTAGTAAGTTGGATCCTCGGTCTCTTCGGCGTGTCTTCCTGGGTTTCTCCACCACTCAAAAGGGCTACAAATGTTATCATCCCTCCTCTCACAAATGGTTTGTCTCTATGGATGTGTCTTTCTTTGAATCTCAGTCCTACTTTCTCTCCTCTCCGGTGTCCCCGTCATCTCTTCAGGGGGGCGCCTTGGTGTGACGAGACTCCTGTATCACTACCATCACCATCAGTTATTGTAACTCCTAAGACTATTATTATTGAGAATGCTGACTCTCCATCTGAGAATGCTGACTTTCCATCTGCAGTGAAAGACGGCAAAGTGTATGTCAGGGACAAGGGTAGACAGAAAGTTACTTGGGTACAAGAGACCAATTCGGATTCTCCACTGCTATCTTCTTCTTTTGATGAGTGTCCAGAATCCTCTCCTTCTGGTGAACCTCCAGGTAACTCAATTCTGTCTGATCTAGATGTTCCCATTGCTAAAAGGAAGGGGGTTAGGTCGTGTACTCAACATCCTATTTCTCATTTTGTCTCCTACACTAATCTGACTTTTTCCTATAAAGCTTTTCTATCTAAGGTTTCTTTTGTGAGTCTTCCTTTCAATTTTCAGGATGCTCTTTCTACTCCTAAGCGGAAGCATGCCATGATGGAGGAGATGAGAGTGCTTGCTAAAAATGGCACTTGGGAATTGGCTGCGTTACCTAAGGACAAACGACCTGTTCGATGTAAGTGGGTGTACACTGTAAAGCACAAAGCCTCAATTGAACGTTACAAGGCTAGGTTGGTGGCCAAGGGTTTTACTCAGACTTATGGAGTAGACTACCAGGAGACATTTGCACCGGTTGCTAAGATGAATTCTGTCAGAGTCCTTCTCTACCTTGCCTCTAATCTCGACTGGCCTTTCCATCAATTTGATGTGAAAAATGCTTTCCTCCATGGAGATCTGGCAGAAGTGTACATGGACATTCCCCCAGGCTTTGAGGATGTTAAAACCACAGGAAAGGTGTGCTGGTTACGCAAGTCACTTTATGGCCTTAAGCAGTCTCCTAGGGCTTGGTTTGAGAGGTTTACTCAGGCTATGCTGAGATATGGTTTCAAACAGAGTCAAGCTGATCATACTTTGTTTGTGAAAAACTCCTCACGTGGTAAAACGACAGCCCTCATTGTCTATGTGGATGATATTGTACTCACAGGGGATGATGTTGAGGAGGTTCCTCGGTTAAAGGAGTATTTGGTTAATGAGTTTGAAATCAAAGACTTAGGCAACTTGAAGTACTTTCTAGGCATTGAGGTTGGTCGGTCCAAAGATGGTATCTTCATATGTCAACAAAAGTATGTGCTTGATTTGCTAAAAGAAACGAGAATGCTTGGAAGTAAAGCGTGTGATACACCACTAAAGCCCGGACTAAAGCTTAGTGAGGTTCAAGAAGGCGAGCCTGTAGACAGGGGGAGATACCAGAGACTAGTGGGTAAGCTTATTTACTTATCCCATTCGCGGCCTAATATTGCTATTGCAGCAAGTATGGTTAGTCAGTTTATGCATGCTCCACGTGCAACTCACTTAGAGGCGGTTATGCAGAATCTGAGGTACTTGAAATCTTCTCCGGGAAAGGATCTTTATTTCTTAAAGCATGGTCATCTCAGTGTGGAGGCATATACAGATGCTGATTGGGCTGGCTCAGTAACTGATAGAAGATCCACCTCTGGCTATTGTACCTTCATTGGAGGAAATCTAGTTACTTGGAGAAGCAAGAAACAAAATGTTGTTGCGCGGTCTAGTGTAGAGACCGAATTCAGAGCTATGGCTCAAGGTGTGTGTGAGCTTTTATGGATTAGATTATTATTGCGGGATTTGGGGATTCATCAGACAGATTCTATGAGGCTCTACTGTGACAATAAGACCGCCATTAATATCGCTGACAATCCGGTTCAGCGTGATCGGACCAAGCATGTGGAGATTGATCGGCATTTTATCAAGGAAAAGCTTACTAGTGGCACTATATGTACGCCTTTCGTGCGGTCCGGGGATCAATTGGCTGATGTTCTTACCAAAGGATTAGGGATTAAACCATTCCGTGACATTCTCGACAAGCTGGGCATGAGAGATATCTTCGCACCAGCTTGAGGGGGAGTGTTAGAATGTGTTAGGATATTTCTTATTTTTATTCTCATTCAGCCTCTTTATTTGGTGTAATGGGCCTTTATTTAGGCTTTAACTTATGTTTATGATTTAATATAAAATGGTATGATAAACCACTCATACCCTAATTTTTCCTCTTCTAAAAAATAACAATATACCCAATTTTTTATGGGAAATTCTATTTTCACGCCTACAATACTCTTAGTACACACCATCATCCTTCTTTTTATTACAATTTTGTCCCACAATCAAATTATCTTTTGGGACAAATTTCTAAACCGTAATCTCTCCTTACACACCACCATCACCACAAGCCTTCGCTACCTCTGGTTGCCGTCCCAAACCACCACCACCACCACCACCTTCACCTTCCTATACCATTAAAACCCGACATTGGCCACCGCCATGACCAATAGTCCCCACCACCATCGCCAACAGAAAGAGAGAGAGCAACCAGGAAACCAGATCTACGATTTGAAGAAGAAAAAGAGAAGAGAGGGATGGCTATGGCATTACGATGGTTGCAGAGGTTAGGATGAGATGGGGGAGATGATGTGGAGGGTGCCGAAGTGTGAAGGGGCAATGCGATCATGATCATAACGAAGGGCAACGTGATTCCGACAGTAACAAGCAACGAGGGTGGGGGAAGAGGGCTGGAGAAGGTTGCCGAAGGGGGAGGAGGGCTGGGGTTGATGGCAACGACAACAATGGTAGGTAGTGATGTTGGGATTAGGGCGACAACTGTGGAGGTGGTGGCAATGGATACAGTGGTTAATGGAGGCAGCAAGAGGGAGGGAGGTTAGAGGGGCCGGCGACTAGAGGGTTGGGGAGGGGTGCCGGCCGGTAGTGGTAGTGGTAGTGGTAGTGGTTATGGTTATGGTTATGGTTATGGTTATGGTTATGGTTAGGGTTAGGGTTAGGGTTTGGGTTTATTGAAGAAAGGGGTAATTTGGTATTATTTAAAAAATAATGGTGTGTATTAAGACAAAATCAAACTTTCCAATTTAGGTGTGGTGTGAACTAAGTAAATAGGCAGTAGATGGTGTGAATTGAGAGATTTTGTGCTGGGTAGTGGTAGTGGTAGTGGTAGTGGTTATGGTTATGGTTATGGTTATGGTTATGGTTATGGTTATGGTTAGGGTTTGGGTTTATTGAAGAAAGGGGTAATTTGGTATTATTTAAAAAATAATGGTGTGTATTAAGACAAAATCAAACTTTCCAATTTAGGTGTGGTGTGAACTAAGTAAATAGGCAGTAGATGGTGTGAATTGAGAGATTTTGTGCTGTCTAAATAGAATTACCCATTTTTTATTTTGTCTGAATAAAATTGATTTCATTGTTCAAATATTTGACCATAAATAAGACCGTGATTCTATCTATTTCACTCTATGGATTTGTGTATGTGTGTACATGAATTCTATCATGTAGAATTTATCTATGGTTTAATGTATTTGGCACGTGTCAAAAGCTAAGAATTTGTTCCTATTACACTTGTCCCCTTTCCATGTGAAGAATAATTAGAGAGGGGGGCAGTTGAATATTTTGTTAGCATTTCTGTATTCACTTCTGAAGGTTGGTATGATAGGTTTCAAGACTGCAAGAACAGTTGCAAGCCGAGAGAGATCTGCGTGCTGCTTTGGAAGTTGGGTTGAGCATGTCTTCTGGACAGTTCTCAACCTCTCGTGGTATGGATTCCAAGGTCTGTATTGTTAAAAGCAAACTACTCATCAAAGAAAGAAAAAAAAGCGTATTAATTTTTCTTTTGTTTTCTTCCACTTCTTGTGTGTGTTCATTCACTGCTCTGCGCTATACATTCTTATGAGTTTACTCTATTGTGAAGACAATGGCTGAGCTTGAGGAGATTGCTCTTGCTGAAGCAGATGTGGCCAGGTTGAAGCAGAAAGTTGCAGAACTCCACCATCAACTAAATCAGCAATGTCAGCATCAGTACAGCTCCCTGTCTGATGCATGTGACAACTTTCAACATGTCCAAAATCATAATTCTCAACTGTGAGCTACAAAACTCCAATTATATAATGTTTCCGATTTTTAAGCTTCCATATCTATGATTTATAGGCTGTGTAGTTGTGTGTTATTTGATGATTTATGGACTTCAATTTTTCTGTCTTTTTATACAACAATCTTATTTCCAACCCTTGAAAAGGCAAAGCAACGGTTTTGTAGCTGGGTTCTCCTATGGTGTGCACCCTTTAGGGGTGGATACCATATGCACCCCTACCACGAAATGTGTAACTTTACCACAAAATTTTATAGCTAACCACAAAATGCATAATCTCGTCACAAATTGACATCACAAAAAATGTCGTAACCAAGCCACAAACTTTTGTAACATTAACTACAAAATTTTGGACATTTTGTTACGCCAATTTGTAGCAGGGTTACGTATTTTGTGATTGATGTTACAAAATTTTGTGATAAAGTCACATTTTGTGGTAGGGTGCATATGGTATGCACCCCTAGAGGGTTGCACACCATAGCATTTTCCTTTGTAGCTGGTCCATTAAGGAACTTGTTTCCATCATTGAGGATTGATTGCTTTCTTAACTTACATTATTTGGTGCTTGTAGAAATGTAAAAAAAAATAGTAAAATATCTTAAATGAAAGAGCAATTAAGAAACATATATATGGTATAAGGTTTACATGGACGTTATTTGGTGCCAGTAGAAATGTAAAAATGATAGTGAGATGTCTGAAATGGAAGAGCAATTAAGAGGCATATTATATATAACGTTTATGTGGTTTGGCCGTGATGACCTAAATCCATGGGAGAAAGTCAATAACACTATTTTTACTTACTCAAATAAATTTATAGATACAATCAAATATATAGAACTATGGAGGTAGAGATAAAGTTGTTTAAATATGGAGATAGAGATAAGGTTGTTCAAATATTTCTTGTAGAACTATGGAGATAGAGATGAGGTTGTTTCAATATTTCTTATAGAACTATGGAGATAGAGATAATGTTGTTTAAATATGGAGATAGAGATAAGGTTGTTTAAATATTTCTTATTTCTTATAGTACTAAGGAGATAGAGATGAGGTTGTTTAAATATTTCTTATAGAACTGTGGAGATACAGTGGTGCTACATGTACCAATTAGTATTCTAACATATGCTATAACATTACCATTTCAAAACTATAGAGATAGAGAAAAGGTTGTTTAAATATATCTTATCTTCTATAAATACGATTGTATCACCAATTGGTATATAATTAGTTTACTAACGGATGATGTGGCATAATTTTAGAGGCAATGTCATAGCATATGTTAGTACACTAATTGATATACCAATTGGTGCATGTAGCACCACTGATAAGTTTATGAATTAAGTTACACGCACCAATTGGTATACCAATTAATGTATTAATGGATGATGTAGCATAATTTTAGAGGCTTTGAGTTTTTATAATTTAGATAATTGGTGGGGCCCATAGTTTAAAGTGGCAATGTCATAGCATATGTTGGTATGGTGCATGTAGCACCACTGTAAATTTATTTGAGTGAGTAAAAATAGTGCTATGGACTTTGGCCAAACCACATAAACCTTATATATGCCTCTTAATTGCTCTTTCATTTCAGATATTTCACTATCATTTTTACATTTCTCCAAGCGCCAAATAATGTCCATGTACACCTTATACCGTATATATGTCTCTTAATTGCTCTTTCATTTAAGATATTTCACTATTATTTTTACATTTCTACAGGCACCAAATAATGTAAGTTAAGAAAGCAATCAATCCTCAAGATGAGTATGGATCATAGACAAGTGCTTATCTTGGTTAAAGTTGAACATATATAAACGTGGGTGTGGATGCAATTGTCTGTATCTAAGGCAAATTAGATGTTATTTTTCTTATGCTATTTAAATTTTTTAATGCCTGCAGGAAAAAATTTCAGCAAGATTTTGATGTGACCCTTGCTTTTGTTAACCATGAAAGGAAACAAAGAACTGAGGTACTTGCTTTAGATTGTTCTGTTGTTTGTCTATCTTTGTTGATTGACATGTTTGAATCATAGTTATAGCTTACATTAGTTATGTCTAACTAATAAAAAGCTGTCCTCATCTAAGATTCTTTTTCTACATCAGTTAGAGTTGAACTTGTAATTCTATTATCTCAAATGCCATTCTTGAATGACATTGCTATAAAAGCTTTGTCTTCAACCTGAACTCTTTTTAGATTTGGTTAATTGCAAGATGCAGCCCTCTATTTTAGATGAGAATTTTTGCATGAAACACCAGGCCAAATTGATATCATGTAGAACTTTGCTACTTCTTATCCCCATCCACTTTTGTGAAGTGCACATTTTGTAAAGCCCATGGATGACATGTCCATCGCATCCATGTTGTGAACGGTGAATGTTGAACTGATCAATGAAGCACGAACACACGCCTAAGGGAAACGTAGTGGTGTCGCTGGACACATTCTAACATGTCCTGGACATGTGTTCCTTATTGGGACAGCTCTCAGTTACAGAAGGGACAGAGTTATTTGAAAACATGAAGATGAAGCGGTACAACTAAGAAGAACAAAAAAGAAAACTTAAGGTGATGTTTTTTTGCTTGATTGTTGTTGGGCTATTCTTGTTGCTGTATTGGTTGCTTCTTTCTGCTCTATTGAAATCTCTGGTTGCTCTTCCATCTTCCTTTGGTATTATGGCTGAACCAAGACTTGCTTCTCAATCCTTTGTAATCAAGGATGATGAAATACCCAAGTCAATTACAACTAAGAAATTAAATGGTTTAAATTATCTGGCTTGGGCTCATGCGGTTAGGATTTTCTTACGTGGCAAGAAGTAACGGTTTTTTACTGAACTTCCACCTACTGAGGATGATAAAGGCTATGATGATTGGCTAAGTGAGGATTCTTGTGTTATTGGTTGGATTTGGCATAGTCTAGAACAACATGTTGCTACTATCGTGGAATTTTGTGATACCTCTAAGGAAATTTGAGACTCCCTAACTGAATCTTTTTTGAATCAGAGTAATGTCTCTCGGATCTATGAGTTATATGAGCAGATTTTTGCTATGTGCCAATTTGGCCGGTCACTTCCTAAGTATTATAGTAGTCTCAAGACCTTGTGGGATTAGTTATTGCAGCATCGACCCTTCATTACTGATGTGAATAAGTAGAAGCAACATTAGGAGGAATTTATGATGGCTTCCTTACTTTCCGGCTTAAATCCTGACTTGAGGGGGTTCAAGCATCAGATTCTTGCCAGTGAGACTTTACCATCTGCTGCTAATGCCTATTCTCGGCTATTACGTTCTTTTTTGGGCCAGTCCCAACCCCCATGTAGGTCCTTTACATTGGCTTCTTTTGCTTTGGTCTCTAGTAGTAGTGATCGAGGGGCTACTCACGGGGGTTTTTCGCCCGCCGGTGGAACGAAATTACTAGGTTCTTAACCTAGCTCTGATACCATGTAAAATAAATTGATAGAGAGAGAATAAACTGTATGTATTATTGATTGATGTATGTTGTGTTTACAATGAGTCCTATATATAGAAGATTAAAGGAGGTAGGTATGTAGTAGGTGGAGTAGTAGGTGGAGTAGGTGAAGTGGGTGGAGTAGGTGTAGTGGTAGGTTTTGGTACATTTTAACATGTCTCTCGGATCTATGAGTTATATGAGCAGATTTTTGCTATGTGCCAATTTGGCCGGTCACTTCCTGAGTATTATAGTAGTCTCAAGACCTTGTGGGATTAGTTATTGCAGCATCGACCCTTCATTACTGATGTGAATAAGTAGAAGCAACATTAGGAGGAATTTATGATGGCTTCCTTACTTTCCGGCTTAAATCCTGACTTGAGGGGGTTCAAGCATCAGATTCTTGCCAGTGAGACTTTACCATCTGCTGCTAATGCCTATTCTCGGCTATTACGTTCTTTTTTGGGCCAGTCCCAACCCCCATCTAGGTCCTTTACATTGGCTTCTTTTGCTTTGGTCTCTAGTAGTAGTGATCGAGGGCCTACTCACGGGGGTTTTTATGGCTCTTCTAGTTCACAAGGTTCTTATTCTGGTCCCCGTGGTTGTAGGTTTAGAGAAGAGAAAGAGTCAGGGAATGAGTTAGACTTCATTCCCTTTTATATTGATAATACTGAGTAATTACAAGAGTGCCATAAGGCATAATATAAGGAAACACCATCGCACAATCACGCATTTCCTATTCTAACTTAATTCCTATTCTAATACTCCCCCTCAAGTTGGTGCGAAGATATCTCTCATGCCCAGCTTGTTGAGAATGCTATGAAATGGTTTGCTCCCTAGCTCCTTGGGTGAGAAAATCGGCTAGTTGATCTCCAGTCTTCACAAATGGAATACATATGATACCACTAGTGAGTTTTTCCTTGATGAAGTGCCTATCAATGTCCACATGCTTAGTTCTATCATATTGAACTGGATTATGAGCTATGTTGATTGCAGCCTTGTTGTCACAGTATAGTTGCATGGAGTCATTCTGATGGATTCCCAGTCTCCCAACAATAGTTTAATCCACAGTAACTCACATACTCCCTGAGCCATAGCCTTGAATTCTGCCTCAGCACTAGATCTAGCAACCACATTTTGTTTCTTACTTCGCCATGTGACTAGGTTGGCACTAACAAATGTGCAATATTTGGAGGTTGATCGTCCGCCAGTGACGGATCCAGCCTAATTTGCATCAGTAAATGCCTCCACATTAAGATGACCATGTTTTGAGAAATTGGGGCCTTTTTCCAGGAGAAGATTTTAAGTATCTCAGGATTCTCATAACTCCCTCTAAGTGAGAAGTTCTCGGAGCATGCATAAACTAACTCACCATACTCACGGCAATGGCAATGTCTGGACGTGAGTGGGATAAGTATATGAGATTTTCCACTAGTCTCTGGTATCTCCCCCTGTCCACTGGATCTCTCTTTAGATCCTCACTCAGTTTCTGGCCCGGTTCTAGAGGTGTATTACATGGTCTACCTCCAAACATTCCAGTTTCCTTTAGCAAGTCAAGTACATACTTCCTCTAATATATGAAGATGCCATCCTTGGACCGAGCTACTTCAATACCCAAAAAATACTTCAAATAGCCTAAGTCTTTGATTTCAAACTCCTTGGCTAAGTATTCTTTCAAACGAGGAATCTCCTCAACATCATCCCCTGTCAGAACAATATCACCAACATTGACAATAAGAGCTGTGGTCTTACCATGTGAGGAGTGTTTCACAAACAAGGTGTGATCAGCTTGACTTTGCTTGAACCCATATTTCAGCATAGCTTGAGCAAACCTTTCAAACCAAGCCCTCAGAGACTGCTTTAGCCCATAAAGTGACTTTCAGAGCCTGCATACTTTACCATTGGACTTAGCAGCCGCAAAACCAGGAGGAATATCCATATAGACCTCTTCTGCTAGATCTCCATGAAAGAATGCATTCTTCACGTCAAACTGATGAAGTAGCCAATCCAAATTTGCAGCAAGAGAGAGTAAGGCTCTGTTTTGTACAGCTCTAGAACGTTAGTTCCAGGGCTTATTTTGCACATGATGTTTGTTTACGCGTTTCAAAAATTAATTCTACTCACTTTTGAAAACTCTGTCTAAGGCAGGAAAATTTAGGCTAACCGGTCGTCCCACCGGATGTCCTACCGGTTGTTTGGCCGATTGACCGAAACAGTGATTTTTTTTTTTTTTTTTGCAATTAACAGATGTTAGTTTTTATATATTCAATAAAAAATATTTTTCGAATTTTTTAAATTTTTTTATGAGATTTGAATAGAATTTTTGAGTTGTGTGTTTGGTTATGAGTTGTAAGCTTTTATATCAAGTATCATATGTCACATCAAAAATTTCCCACTCAATTCAAAACTCTTTTCAAAACTCATTCACCAAACAATTTTCTACACTCAAATCATAATTTCAAAACTCACAAACTCAAAATACAACTCCTATTCTCAAATCATATTTAGAAAACTCTACCAAACACTATCTAAGATTCTCACAGAATTCATCTTAGCAACCGGTGCGAATGTCTCCTGGTAATCCACCCCATAAGTTTGAGTGAAGCCCTTAGCAACTAGTCTTGCTTTGTACCGTTCTATAGAACCATCTGCTTTGTGTTTTACCGTGTACACCCACTTACATCCAATTGGATTTTTGCCTCTAGGTAACTCCACTAACTCCCAAGTGCCACTCTTGCTGAGAGCTCTCATCTCTTCCATCATGGCATGCTTGCATTCAGGAATAGAGAGAGTATCCTGAAAATTGGTAGGTAGACTCTTAGAAAACACTTTAGACAGAAAAGTTTTATATAACGAAGATAGATTAGAATAAGAGACATGATTAGTAATAAGATGCTGAGTACATGACCGAAACCCCTTCCTATTAGCAATGGGAACATCTAATCTAAAAAATCAAAAATAGAAGCACTAGAATTAGAATTACCTGGACTCTCAGGAGAGAAGGTTGACTTTGGATACTCATCCGAAGAAGAAGTTGGCAGTAGAGGAAGGAAAGTAGTCTTTTGCATCTAGGTGACTTGTTGTCTGTCATTGTCCCTAATATAAACTTTGCTTGTTTCCTTTTCCTCAACAATTGCTGTCTTATCATCCTCTATCTGTTCAACCATGGACGGAAGTGGAATAGGAATCTCTTCACATCAAGGCTCCCCCTGAAGAGATGACTGTGATACCGGGGAGGTCGGAAAGTAAGGCTAAGACTCAAAGAAAGTGACATCTATGGAGACAAACCATTTGTGAGTGGGAGGATGATAACACTTATAACCCTTTTTGGTGACAGAATAACCCAGAAAAACACACTGAAGGGACCGAGGATCTAATTTACCATGAGTGGGTGAATGATTATGGACAAAGCAAAAACAACCAAAAGTCTTAGGAGAAATGGAAAACCCGGAAGAGATAGACACGAACAAAACTTGAAGAAGTATTTGTTTTTGAAGGACTCGGGCAGGAAGATGATTAATCAAATAA